AGCGGGTGTAGCACATACTACGCGGATGCGGTGCGAGGGCGCTTCACCATCTCCAGGGACGACGGCCAGAGCACGCTCTACCTGCAGATGAACAGCCTCAAGGCCGAAGACACCGGCACCTACTACTGCGTGAAAGCAGATGATGGTCCCTGGGATGGTGCTGGTGGTGACCCTGTTGTGGCCAGGGCCCTGATGGGATGCACCCACAAGTGCATCTGGAGATGCATCCGGAAATCCAGACCTGCAGATGGACAGCCTCAAGGCCTGCTGGTGAGAAGTTCTGCAGAGAAAGACCTGGAGGTCCTGCTGGCGCAGTCAGGAAATGCTAAAGCCGTGTCTTGTCGGTGGAAATCCCCAGAATGGTTTTTTTTCTGACCACAGACAGGGTCTGCATCACCATCTGCTGGTTTCGCGCAGTAGTAGGTGGCGGTGTCTTCGGCCTTGAGGCTGTTCATCTGCAGGTAGAGCGTGCTCTGGCCGTTGTCCTTGGAGATGGTGAAGCGCCCTCGCACCGCATCCGCGTAGCCTGTGCTACCATAGGTGTTAATAAGTGCAACGAACTCGAGCCCCTTCCTGGAGTCCGCTCAGCTCCTTTCCACCCCTCTTTCCCCAGGGCTGGGGGCGGCCGAGCAGCTGGTCGAGTCCGGAGGGGGCCGCCAGCAGCCCGGTGGGAGCCTCCGCCTCTCCTGCAAGGGCACCGGCTTCACCTTCAGCAGCTTCAACATGGAATGGGTCCGGCAAGCGCCCGGGAAGGGGCTTGAGTGGGTCGCAGCTATTTACAGCAGTGGTAGCAGCACAAGCTACGCGCCCTCGGTGCAAGGGCGCTTCACCATCTCCAGGGACAACGGCCAGAGCACGCTCTACCTGCAGATGAACAGCCTCAAGGCTGAAGACACCGCCACCTACTACTGCGCGAAAGCAGCTGCTGGTTATGGTTGTGATGGTGGAGACCCTGTCCACAGACCAACAAAATCCCCCGCAAGCAATTCCCCCGGTCAGGCACGAGGGCAGCATGGCGTGCAAGAAATGGAGGATCCAGCATTGACCCCTGGGGGATACCGCTAGCTGCAGCCCTCCAAACGCCAACTACGTGCTTGTCCTCCAGCTGCTTGGAGATGTCATCCGGGATGAGCTTCTCCACCAGCTTGGCATGGACGGAGGAGAAGCTGCAAGGCCTGTCGGCGCCTGGCTCCTCCTTCTGGCTCTTGTGCAAGACCAGGGGGGACATTTGCTTCAATCCCATCCTCAGCCACCTGCCTAGATGGCCGGGGCCTCGCAAGGAGGATGGAGAGCAGCCTCGCAACGACATCGGCCAGCTCCCGCAGCGCTCGTGG